ATTTAGACTCTCCTAAAAAAAAAAATAAATAAAATTACATAACAGTCTGTAAAAAATGCAAAATTCTACTAAAAACTAATTTTTTTGGTTGTTATTTTTGATTATAAATATTATTTCATTCTATAATTAATTAAACTTGTAAATCACAGCTTGATAATAGTATATTGTGCATTTAGTGTGGATAAGTTGCCAATAGCGCATGAGGGCGGCGTATGTGAGAACAAGCGGAGCGAGTAACGAATGCGGATAAGTGGGCTATATCGTAACGCTTTCTACCATATCATCACTAGTGCGATATTGGCCACATATCGACACGCAAAAGCGTTACTATATTTGCATATAAGTAATTATAAATTTTTTCAACTACATTTCTGCAGGTTGTTACTCGAATATTACAATTTTCATCACGCCCAAACAGTGACAATAAGCTACCATTATCTTTCTCATTCCATCAGAAGAACAAGCTTTTATTTAATTCAATTTATGCTCATTCGAAGCTATTTTAGCATTTAAAATTTCTTTTTTTTCTACTTCTTTTAAACTAACAGCAGACTTAATTATTTTGGCACTAGTTATATTCAGTTTCATTAAAACCTGTTCTAATACATTTACATCACAAACTGCATCATGAGCATTAGCACAGTCAATCTTCAAATCAGCAGCCAAAATTTTTAATGTATTTTGACCTATACCTTTTCTACCAGTTACTGTTCTGATTATTTGGACAGTATCAGAAAATCTTACAATAACAGTCTTAAAGTGCTCTCTCATAAATGATAAATCAATTGCTCTCATTAGCCTAGGATAATCGAATGAACAATTATGTGCTGCGAGAATACATTTATTTTTAAATAAGCATAAAAAATCATAGAAATCTTATATAGCTTTTGATAAAGGTACTGTCGAAACAGGTACTCCTTGGTGCATTAAATGACCGTTTACAATTGTTAATTTGTTGATTTCGCTTGCTTTCACTGATATGCATTGAGTTGCTTGAATATATGTTGGAAAAGTGTTATTTTCTACGATTTCGCTCTCAGCATTGAACGTAATATGCTTAGTAGCTATTTGTAGTATATCGGAAGTTGTCCAAGTCCCTTCTGTTTCTAAATTAAACAATATAACAATTGATTTACGGCTATTGCTGACATTAAGTTTTAGCAGAGATTGTGTATTATTCAAAAGTTCCATATCTGAAGAATAAATTACTCCTTCTACTAATTCGTTTCTATTCTTGGCTGAAGACTTTCGATTTTTTCTATTCAGACGCTGCCTTTTACATTCGACAGTCAATGACTTTTTGTATCTCTTCTTAGCAATTTCATGAATACGCTTAGCACGTTTCAGTGTATTTCTTCCTGGAGACAAGGTCATCTTTTCGTTCCATTTAACTGTATATGTCTCTTCTTCATTTTTTTGTTTACAGAGCAAGAGTTTCGTTGGTCACCAGATGGTCCCAAACCATATAAACGACACTTCGGTGCTTTACTAGACACCGACATATTAAAGCTTTCTACGGCATTTGTTGATACTCCAGCTGCAAATTCTCTCATTCTATTTGCAAGGACATTAAATACACATTTCAAATAATCGAATTTCTTTAATATCTAGATTAATGAATAATCCAAAACTTTCGTCTTTGAAGCCATCATCTATTGTAGAATGCTTGTACGTATCAAGATTGATTTTATATCTGCACAAAATCTCCATAGTTGTCATGAATATTGAAACAGTGATATGGGATATTTTTGGTATACGATTATTTTTGGCAACACGTTCACCAGCAGCATACGATTCCATAGCTTTTGCAGTTCCCATAAAATTTTTTGTGCAATCATGCTTGTCTAGTGGAACCCCCATATCACAATTTTTACATTTACGATTTAGATTTATAATAGAAATAATTTTTTTAGTCAAATATCCTATGATCACACCTCTTCCTGATAAACTATCGTAACTTCGACCTGAACCTTTTGTAGTCCAGCCAAAGTCAAATAACCCAACCAAGCGTACTATATGTTCAAGTTGTATATTTAGTTGACTAATTTCATCTTCTGATAAATCTGGAAAAATAAAACTTTCCTGCAAATGAGAAGGTCTGAAAAAATAATAAAAAAATATTTTTTTCAAGTACATCATTTTTAATCTAAATATTAGTTGATTTTAAAAAGTGATGTCTGTACAATTACAGAGTCAAAAAAATATAATTATTTAATATTTTATTTTTTTCTTATTCAATTTAGACTGAAATAATGTAATGTATATAAATAATACTATCGTTGTAAAAATAATTGTGATGTAAATAATATTGATGTATAAATTTAATCGAAGTTACTAAAAATAATCGCAGTAGTTCTGAATAGTAAAAATCGATACAATTTTTTTTTGATTATTTACAATTTCTTGACACATGATTTCATTTGTTGCGTATGAACGACGTAATTTATACAAACTTACAGAAGTTTTTTAATTTTAACAATATTTTGTATCGTTAACCTCCTTTCTTCCATAGCTGCTTCTTTGCAACTTTCTTGAGCCATTGTTTCAATGGCTTTTCCAGTCTCTCGTTCATGAGTTTTGAGTAAATTCCAATGTAACTCTGGCATATTAAGAGCAACCAGGATTTTATTCACGTGTGTACTGCCTATGTCAAAATTTAATGCACCTGTAATTGATTGTATTTCAAACATTTATTATTTCTGTCATTATTATTATCACGTACGTTACATAATATTTATTTTATTTATTACTCACCGGCAACAATTCTAGAATTACAATCAAAGTAAAACTTTTCACCAACTTTATGTTCAGTGTCAGTAGCGACGCTTTGAACATATTTACAACTCCGACATTTAATATAAAATAATACGATCAATCCACACTATTTTTCGTCTAAAATGTCGAGTAAAGAAAGTACACACCAGACCTTGACATTGACAACAAATAAGGTATTCGGCAAGGGTTTGAATTCGTACATTACGCCGACCTTCTACGTTCAGATACTTTGCACTACGATCACCTTCGAGGTTAGACGACGCCTGCCATTTCACAGCAGAGATAGGTCGTGTATTCATCTCTTTTGCATGTTCACTTTGCTTCACTCTTTTATTATAAACACTTTCCTTGACTCTTCGACCTTTCCGGAAAAACTTTTAATCATTTTCTGTATTTACCAACTCAAACATAATTTCACTGTAACTGTCAAAACAAAGGTTTAAGTTCGTGTCGCCAGCAACAGCTTGCTTATAGTCCCGCGCATCACAGTGTTGCCATATTTTAACTGTACTAATCATATGAGCGCTAGTATTGTAAATTCTCAATTGACGTCAGCCGTACCGATAGTACCTCCTTAAAATAAGGTTATCATATTTTTTTCAGTAGATATAGGTCTTCGAGGTAAGTATTTTGAGATGAACTTGTAAAATGCGTTCGCATGAGTTGTAATTTTTCTAGCGTATCACATAAATCAGAGCTGAGTGTGTACATGTTTCAGTGAGATTTCATGCTCGATGTATATTAGTACAGTTTACATCAGTGTGGTACAATATAGTATCTTATTGAAAAAAATAGACAACAGAGAAAATTAGACAACTGGTAGTTCAAGCATCACACGAAAAGTATACAAAAAGCCATGCGAGATGAACAAAGCATACTTCTAATAAAGTAACATATTTCCATGATCTATGGCTTTTGTAAGTGTTGTTACGGTAGTTAACCTAGCTTGAGTTATCTAATCAATAAGAACTGCTATGTTCATCTTTTTTTCATCTTTTGCTCTATCCTTTTTTTGATGCATAGAAAGCAAAATACTTTCAGAAAATATAAAAAAAGCGTAAATTAAACCATTCTATATTCTTCTTTGAGTAGAATTCCTGGTTTCGTTAATCCATCAATTCCGAATTCTACAGTATTCAATAATAAGCGGTAAGTACAAAGACAGCAGCAATCAGGATTTGATTTACTTCTGAACGAATAACAATGATAGCGAATGTTAAATAATAAATAAGTAAGACCTTTATTTACAGTGCAGAATATATTCGACCAAAATACTCTTCCTCCATGATAAATTTTTGATAGATAAGTTTACATGAAATAATGATCCATTGATATATTAAGTGCGAGTTAGTACGACATTATTTCAACAAATTACTTTTATAAAAAATAACTGATATATAAAAAAATCACTGATATAAAAAGGGCTGTACAAGACCTAAAGGGCAGTGTGTGAGAGAGAGTTTGATTATTAGTGAGTGAGTGCTGAAGGAAGTACAGGGATCAGTTAACCAAGAAGTCAATCAAGAAGTTAAGCCGCAAAATAGCCAAGAAGATGAACAGACCAGGAAAAACGAATCAAGCCAAGTAGCTAAGAATCTAAAAAAAAAAAAGAAGCGAATCAAGCCAAACAGTCAGTTCCGAACGAAGCACGCCTGGCTTGAAAACTCGAAACATTTAATAAAAAGTAAGCGAACAAACAAAAAATTCTCTGATTTATCTATATCTCCTCTATCTTAGAAACAGCTCGTGACAAGAAAATTCTTCCCTTTTTCGTGGAGACTACTTTTGATAGGCTCCAAGTAGAATTTCTAATAGAAAAACCGGGTTCTACTATTGATAGGACCTAGGATACTTCGCGCTCTCGGATTACAACTATTGATTGGAAGCCAAGGGAAGAAGTATAGGTTCAGTGGCACTGTCCCCCTCGGTTTTAATAATTTTCGATTAGTGATCCCGCTAGTTTATGCGAGAAATCGCAGTACTAGCAACAACAGAATCCTCAGACTGCGCCAAGCTTCAGGTGCACCTGAGATGTGTAGTTGCCACGACGTCACAATATCTACTAAAAAATATATACAATAGTTCTTATCAATAATGTAATAAATTTTAAGTTTTGTATGTAGGTCTAAATACTATTGATATGTAATTCTCTAATATTTTATGAAAAAACATAATAAATACACGTTTTTAATTTACATAAATTGAACTAGTCCAATGGTTTTTAGGTTCAACTAGAATTGGAAAATTCATTTATACGTCGAACAATTTTCAATATTGCTATCAGAGCAAAAGAATCAGATCTTAAAAAAGGAATCATTCGAAAAAATTCTATATGGGATGTACTAATTTTTCGAAATATTCAAGAAGACATGGGCGGTAGACTACGCTTAATGCTCGTAGGATCAGCACCTTTAGCAGGCAACATTTTAACTTTCTCGAGATGTGTTTTAGGTTGCCTCATTGTAGAAGGATATGGTCAAACGGAATGTTGTGCTCCTATCACATTAACGGTTCAGGTATTGAATTAAAAATATAATATTTGTTATTGAATAGGTATGATGGATCATATTATGTATCAAGTTAATTAGGTAGGTTGCATTCATGATTTCTTTTCCAAGTTTAGTAAATTTGTAAAAGTATTATTATTTTGATATAAAAATTAAATTTTGTAACGTAGTAAAAAAAATGGAAAAAATTATAATAAAAATCCAAAACTTATAATTTTTGTTTCGTATAGTTATTCTAGATGTGAAAGAAAACATTTCATGTCTCAGACAATATTTTAAAATCGTTTTAGCTTATCAGAATAACAGATATTTCGGCGGATGTCACGACATTCCCCATAAATATAAACAGAAGGCGTTTGCATGGAAAAATGGACGAAAGTAAGCATCTCGCCCGTTTGCCCGTCGAATATTAAAGGTTTCAGCTTAATACGGGTAAGAGCACAGGCAAAGTATAGCCTGACTTAATGGTGCAGCAATGTATTTGACGAAATCTCTGGATCCGCGGAGAACGTCGTAGGACTTAGCCTATGAAAGTTTGTACGCGAAAAATCATCGATAAGAAAAGTAGGCGAAAGTTGGGTGATTGAGGAGGTGCGTACTGGTTAAATAAATTTTAATACAGAATGCAAAACTTGCATAAAAGGGGTGTTTTGTCGCGCAAGAGGCTATTATACCTAAAGTAGCATCGACGTCTAAACTTCTTTTAAATAATATATATTTTGATGAATTTAATTAAAATCTACAAACTGAATACGCACAGCAAAAAGGTATTTTTTCGAAGGAACTGTAATGGTGTAGGCTGCTCGGTACCTGCCTCATATGTCTCACTCATTCTCTTTTCCATACAGGCGAAGACTCGCCGCTAGCGTCAGACGCATGTGTGAATCACGTGTCTAACGCTTGCTTTTATTTTTCACTGGCTAAGGAGTAGGATTAAGTCGCAATACTAGTAGAAGAAAGAGAGAGAGAGAGAGAGAGAGAGAGTAATGTCGATAATGTATAGGGCTGGACGCGCGACATTAGGTGAGTTGGGCGGTGTCGCGTACCACGGAATAGGGACGAGTGGTGGGAAGTGACCGCAAATCAGTCAGTCGACGATTGGCCTAGCGATCGTTCGAGATAAAAAGTAGAAGTGGAAAAACGTAAAGAAGTGTTGATTGCATTGCTCGTGTCATACTTGCGCAAAGAAGTGGTATTCACGTAGACGAAAAGCACTCTGCATCATCGAATGTGTCTTCTGTGGGACTATCGCCAGGTTTTGTTAACTATTCTATCTCTCTATCGGCGCCTTGCGGTTGATCCAGCGGGATCAGATTCTTAGAGACCTAGCCGACGCACGAAGCATCAATTTCTAGCGAAGGTCAGTAGGCGAGACGACTAGACGCTTACGCCCTAGCTTCCTCGCCTTAGCTTAAATCTAAGCATTGATTAGAAAAAGATCAGTTTTTATAGTTTTTGTATGGTTTTCTTTATAACACTCATATAGAGTTTTCGGTATTGAGTAAAAGTGATTATGTAATAAATTGGAAAAGTTGAACTATTCGTATAATTTATTACTCGACACATTCTTATCTGCCTCTAACTGTTGCGGTAAGCTGTCTCTCTTACCTTCTGCTCAAAATAATTAGTGATATTATGGAGGAATATGACCTGCGATAATTGATGCTATTACAGAAAAAGAAAAATAAATTGCACTAGAGTTAAATTTTAGGAAAAAGCCTACATAATATAGTAAGCATGTAAAATCCACTTATTGGTAAATTCACAAATGCTACACATACGAAAAATTGAATGATGAACAGAGTGTCAGCGTAATTACATTACATATGCATATACGAAGTCTGTCCGGAAAGTATCGGGTCTACCTTTATATTTTCGTGCTAGCGTTATTCTTTATCATCTGGTGGGTGGCATCCTTCAGAGTAATCCCCACTTGATTTAATAACACGGTTCCATCGATGTTTCCACTTTACAAAACAGTCCTGGAACTCACTTTTAGGGATAGCCTTAAGTGCACTCATCGCATTATGTTCAACCGTTGTTTTGTCACCGAATCGGTGTCATTTGAGTGGTTTTTTTAGTTTTGGAAACAGCCAAAAGTCACAAGGGGCTATGTCGGGACTCTATGGAGGTTGTCGAAGCAATGCGATATTGTGTTTGCTCACAAACTGCTGCACAAGATTGGATGAATGCGCTGGCGCATTATCGTGATGGAGAAACCAGTCACTACTTTCCAAAAAGTGCGGCTGTTTTCTTCTTACTGCATCACGCAAACGTTTCAAAATTTGAACGTAGTATTCTTTATTGATTGTCTGACCTGTTGGTGCATATTCGTGATGTACAACACCTTTACAATCGAAAAAAACAATCAACATTTACTTAACATTGCTCCGACTTTGACCTGCTTTTTTTGGTCTTGGCGATTCAGAATGCTTTCACTGTGAAGATTGTTGTTTTGTTTCAGGATCATAACCATAAACCCATGATTCATCACCTGTAATAACTTTTCTAAGCACATTATCATCATTATAGACCATTTCCAGATTGTTCAGAGCGATTTCTAAGCGAATGTTCTGCTGCTCTGCTGTGAGCAATTTTGGGATGAATTTCGCAGACATGCGTTTCATTCCTAAATTTTGGGTTATAATTTCTGAAATGATAGTTTTTGATATCCCAAGGTCTTCTTCTAGTTCTCGCACAGTCATACGACGATATTGTTCGATTGCAAGTCGCACCCGCTTAATATTATCTGCAGTTTTTGTCGTCGAAGGTCGGCCGGAACGAAAATCACTATCGACAGAAGTGCGACCATCCTTGAACCGTTTATACCACTCTTTTATTCGTGTTTTGCTCATATACTCGCTTCCGAAGGCCTTTTGCATCATTTCAATAGTTTCCGAACTCGTTTTTCCAAGTTGAAAGCAAAATTTGATGCAAATTCGTTGATCTTGTTTTTCAGTCATTTTTGACAATATCAAAATCCGACGAACACGATAAAGGCACTGTAAACAAAGACACGCTGCGCAAGAACTATACGTCCGGCAGGTGTCAATAAGTAACCAATAGATTCGTGAGGCTTTACTGTTGACGTTTCTGTTCGGTAGAGGTCGCTCGTACACTATGGCGCGAAGATATAAACGTAGGCCCGATACTTTCCGGACAGACCTCGTACATATATATTTATATTCGTATGTAGATACATAAATATATTTACGTAAGAGCAATCGTACGAAATACTACATATATTTTGATTTTTCATAATAATTTTCATCTTTTTCTTTTTTTTATTTATTGGTAAATTAAAATGTAACATTCAACGAATTCCGTACAGAAATGATAATCATCGAAAAAGTGTTTGAAACATAATGATCTTTTACATCAACCACACCGTATTATAGCAACATTTTTACATGCTTCTACTTCGTAATGTATATTGCAAGAATCTCCAAAACTAAAATCAACAGGGTTATCTGTTTTAGCTGGTTTTTCAGCAATGTAGCCGCTTTTATACCAAGCGTATTTAAAAATATTTGTATATCTTGGTGAAGAAAGCTGGTTATGGATAAGAGACTGCATTTTTATGATGTTATTTCTTAAATGTAGATTCATTTCATTATCCATGAAAATTACTTGATCTGATAAACGTCGAACGAAGTTTATCAGATACGAGACACGTCCAGATACGAAATCCATAAACATTGAGTGATTGGATGTTCTCTATCGTTCCTGTGGGAATTTTTTTGATATTAACAATTTTGTATGTCGGCATCGTTTCTCTTACAGCTTTATTACAATATCCATTCCAAGAGTCGAGTAAAAGTACAGATTGAGGTCCAACATTTAGGTAAAAAACTTCTTTCAACCAAATTTTAAAATGATCTAAAATAAAAAAATGTCAAAATTTTTTGTCATTGCATTATAATAAACAAAAATATACTAACTTGTCATTAATTTTCCAGATTTAGATGCTTCCACATGCACATTTTCTGGTTTAAATAATGAAGATTCCACTGTGGGACCGAATTGACCACTTTTTTCTTTTAATACTATAAAAAGTGGTGATAAAAGTTTCCCGAGTGCATTTCTAATTGGAAACCACTCTGATCTGAATTATGAAAGTTTGCAATACCGATTTCTGGTATACATGATTTAACATCAGCTACAAAAGCATCAGCAGTAGTTTGTAGTTCTTCTTTACTTTCTAATGTTTTTTTGGTGATAAATTTATTTATTTTTCTAGATACTATTCTATGAGCTTTTTTAAATTTTAGTAACTAATTTTGAGAACCCTTAAATTTTATATCTTCATGGCCAACAATTTTTTAAGCTTGCAATGCCCTTTTCCGTATATCTCGATCATGCATTATCGTACCAGCTGCAATAGCGGCTTTTAAATTATCAAACGTGTATTGGCAAATTTGCGCAATTTTTTCTCGGTAAGTTCCATTTTTATTAATTGTTTTCGTCCAACGTTTAAGTTGACTTATAAATGAAACTTTTTTGAATCTATGTTGTACAGTATCCAGTTTTAAGTTTTTGTTTTTTCCGTTCCTCAAAAATGCGACGGCTTTTTGTTTATAATCAAATGTGATTTCTTCATCATCATTTGTGCACTGATTTAATTTAGATAAAAATAAATATATTTTATTTCATTTAATATATATATTTTATTATATTTAATATATTTTATTTCTGCACTGATCAAAATCAGGATCAGAAAAGTGATGTTGAACTTCATCTTCGATTATTTTAGCATCATTATCTTTATAATCTTCATGAAAATCTAACATCTCTTCAACAATCATATCAATATCATTAAACTCATACACGGCATCTATTAATATTTCTTTCAACTTTTCTGGCAATTTAATTTCTTTGAAATTAATCTCGCTATCTGGTATTTGTAAACTTTGAAAATATGCTAATAATAAATTGACTACGTTGAAAGGATTGATCTTCATGTTTTAATCTAAAACAAAATCAAGATATAAATACTCTTTTATGCAGTT